TTAACTTCAGTCTTTGTACTTTAGCAGAATGAAGCTGGAAAGGAGGCTAGAGGCGGTGAGGATCGAGGGACTTACTCCCTCTTCAGCGTTCGCTCCGCAAAAGTACAAAGAGTGGAGGAGCTGCTTGTCCTGCTTTTAAAAAAAACAAACCTAAAACAGTGTATAGTCAATAAGCTCTATCGTGGCTGTCTATATAACTTATAAAAAGCGTAAAAAACATATTATTCTATTCTTATAAATACCAACTGTCAGGATCCCAACAAAACGTAAAATGTCATCAACGTCTTCATTTAGCCTGTAGAGGGGAAGCGAATAAATCTCTACAAAGTTGATAATACCATAGTGGCAAGTTTAAATTGCTTCCTTCCTAACATAGGCCCATAGTTTACAAATGGCATTATCTCAAGCAGCTTGCCGATGTTTTCCCGGCACGAGTTTTGCACGTAACCATACGTTTCGAGAAAATAACTTACAAAAATAGAATCCACAACCTTTACAATGCCTACAAGTAAATCAGCAAGGACTGACAAAATTCAAAGTAGAGTGCTAAAATTTAGTATTGCTCTACTAGCCACGCCATTAAAGCACGTGTTTAATTACTCGTTAAAAGCCAGAGTAAACCAAAATTCCTTAAAACGTCCCAACGCTTTACATTAACCTAAAATGTATCAGTCATTCTCGGTACTAAATAGCATCAAACAATATTTTAAAACTTGTAATGAAACACATTGATTCATTAATAGACGAATACCAAGTGAGAACGCCGCTGCAGTATGACTTTCATGCCAATAAATCTACGCGAAGTGCTGTCATCTTCACTCAGCCGATGAACCAATTAACCGCTGAATACTGCACCTGGACCGCTACGGGCGCAGTACTCAGAGGGGTGCAGCTGGCCAGTGAAAGAGGGGGGCGGGGCGGGGATCGGGTCGCGGCGGGCCATGGAGCGGTGGAGGAGGGGGGGGGGGGGGGGGGCGACGAGTGTCGCGGCGGGCACGGGAGCGGGGGGGGGGGGGGGGAGGGGGGGCTACCACTTTTGGTGCCGCTGACCCTTGTGACACCACTACGCCCACATTCCAACGCGCCGCAGAACAGCACCTCCTAGATAACAAAGCCGTAGAGCAGGATAAGATGGCGTCATCAGAGAAGGCCGACGCTGGGCCCAGATTGGACTAGACGATTACGTCAACGTTCGGCTCGCCTTGACTCTAAGCCCAGTGCTGACGCGGCATCCGTTTCCAATATTTGTCCAGCGTTGGCCATCTCTGATGACGCGATCTCATTGAGCACTAAGGCTCTATTACCTAGTGTGTGTTGCGCGGCGCCTCCTCCTTTCCGGCTCCGCGCCAGCTGTGCGTGACTTTGACGAAAATAAAAGGGGTCGTTTTGACGAAAACCAGGTGGTGTCTTTCAGTTTGTCAGCTACGGGGAGAGAGGGAGAATGAGGGGAAAGGGGTTGAACGTGCTGACGCCAGCGCTTCTAACCAATGGGTGCGTAGTACGCGTCACTGTCTCTCCTTTCCTTTTCCTTTCTCGCTGTAGCTGACAAAGGAAAGCACCGCCAGATTTTCGTCAAAACGAGCGTTCTAATGCTAACGCATTAAAATTGTTGTCAAAATTACTGCGCAGGTTGTTGTTGTAACGCGATAGCATTTTGTACCGTTTTTACTGCTCTAATGAACAAACTGAAGCTTTCATCGTCAGCCGGGACGGACAATATCAACAAAATCCTCAAGAACGTCGATGTAATCGCCAGTTCATATCTTTTATTAATCTTCTCGCAACCCCTCTCCTGCAGCCGCTTTCCAAAAGATTGGAAACTTGGAAAGATAGCACTTCTATAAACATGGCAACCGATTACTTACAATTAATCATCGTCCTATATCCTTAAAAGGCAACTCCGCTCCATATCGAAAATTTTGAGGTAGTGGGTGATATAAACGTGAAAGGTAATTCAAAACGACCCTTGACCGTTTGTCTCAAGAATACCAAAATATATTTAGTGATATCTTGTTAGTTACCATAATCGCAAACCGAAACCGAAACTTCGGCACAGCCCGGCAACATTGTACCCTCGACGTCAGTTGAATACGCACCCACATGGGATTCAAGGGGTCATGTGATCTACCTGGGGCAATCCAGAAATGACGCGGACGCAAGGGGAGGGGCGAGGAGCAGTGAAGCGGCGGCGGCAAAGAGACAGCGCGAGAGACGACGAAGCAGGCTATGTAGGCGGCAACCCAGGCGGCTAGTCAGTGAAACATAGCGTGCTACATCCCGTGCTACCCTCTCCTTCTTCTGGTTTTTCTTGTTCTCGTTCATTCTCTTTCGTCCCTCTTGTGCCTCTATCTCGCTCAGACGTGGCGCGCCGGTAGGGCCGTCTGGTAAGCTCACCCTGGAAAAGAAAATACGAAGAAAGAAAAAAACTTCGCATGCAACAGACGTCAGCCACAACGGAAATACAACGTTGGTTGCGCCGCACGCCGCCGGCTAAATTAGCTGATAATGGTGGCTTCGGGCATCTTTGTCTTTGTTGGCCGGTTTAATGATCATTTATGTGGTTTTACATTCTAATATATGACACGTAGTTTCTCTAGATGATACTAAGGAGAGCTGCATTGTTTTCTCGCAACCAAGAATGAAGCGGAGTTTCCCTTTAACGAGCGTCCCATCAAAACTTTTGTAGCCTATACTCAGCACGATCATAATCCATCACTTGCACTCGGTCAACGTTTTCTACTCTCACTGACACGGTAAATCGTTCTTGCGATATCGAGCTTTGCTGAATTCACTCATGGTCTACATATTAACGTCTATAACAATTATCAAACGGACGCCGTATTTTTAGACTTTTCCAAAGGATTCGGCTGAGTTCCTCATAATCCCCTCTTCTCTAAACTTGCAGTGCTCGGTATTGAGAAAACACAATTTCTTCAATCAGGATTTTCTTACGTCGCGAGTTAAGTTTACCCTTGCGAACGTTCATCAATCACCCCTTTCTAACGTAAAATCAGGCGTTCCCCAGAGAGCAAGTCTCTCCCCACTCCTAATTCTCATATACATAAACTCCTAAGGTCATATCATCCTGCAGAGGAATCTAACAGGAATTAACACATGGTGCGATCAATGGCTCATGCCTCTTAACTACGAGAAGTGCAAAATTGTATCATTCACACGGAAAAGCTCTACTCTTTCTCACTCATACTCACTTGAGGTCGTTTCAATTGGCATTACTCCCTCATACAAGTACCTCGGGGTCCATCTGGCTTCCACACTCTATTGGATTGAACATATTGGCGCCATCACTGCTGATGCTTCATGGACCCTCGGCTACTTGAAGCGGAATCTAAAATAGGAACCTTCTCGCCTGAAGCAACTAACGTACACCACACTCGTCCGCTCCAAGCTCGAGTATGCCTCGTCCATCTGGCATCCATCACAAGCTCACCTCAGCGACAGTCTGGAAGGAATTCAAAATCATGCAGCCCGGTTCAATTCTTGAGCATACCCCGAAGACACCAGTGTAAGAAGCTCAAACTTAATCTCGGGCTTCCACTGCTCTCTGACCGAGAAATGATCTGTCGATTATGTCTCCTACATAAATTGTACCACACTAGTGAAGACCTCTCTGACTCTCTGATATCACCTCCTAACAGAATCTCGTCACGCCTCAATCACAGCCGCTGCATCAAACGCATAACAAGCAAAACGCTAGCCTTTAATACTTCATTATTTCTTCATACTATAACCATCTGGAACTCTCTTCCTGAGGAATCATCTTTATTACTGACCCATCCACTTTTCGGTAATCAGTGACTCCACATATCCAATAAATTTTAACAAGTAAATACGTTACTATGACCATTGATTTGGCCTCTGTTTCATATTGTTCTTGTTGTTCTATTTTTCTGTCAAAATGTTCTGCATTGCCCCACCTGCTTCCCCGCCCCGCTCCCCACACTTATGTAATGTCCCACAGGGCCCTTCAGGAGCATTAAATAAAATGAAATGAAATGAAGCTTGACGAAAAGTCTGTTGGGAACCCACCTATCCCAGAAATATTTGTTTTACCTAGCAACAACAGAAAATATACACTTAGTGTGGTACATGGGCCAACTGAGTAGTAGACCAAGTACCACACTGAGTGATGGTGAGCGCTGAATTAGTGTTTCCTCTTTACTGGTGTACGGGTTTCAGTGTGAATTGTTCTTGTGCGCCTTCATTTATAAGTATGAATGCGGAGGGCAAGTTCGTCTGCTTCTTGCGCACGGTTTGCGATGATATCAGAACGCTGAGCTCTTGTTGACTAAGTGAAAAAAGCAGTAGGTAGACCTCCAGGCATCTAGCATTGAGGTCTACCCACTATTCTTTCAGCCAAATATCAATCAGGGTTCGGCGTCGTTCTGTCGTCCCTGGAATCTCTGCTCAAGAAGCAGACGACGCGCTCTCCGCACAGCCAACTTGCAGAATCCTCGATCTCAAGAACATTCAGGAAAGTTTCCTGAAGTAATGACTTGCAAGAGGAAATTTAATGCGCCGAGAACCTGAGGGAGATGAGGGGGCTAGAGCGCGCTGGGACGTCAGCACGCTGAGCTCTGATTGGAATGATCGGTGGTTAGACATCAAGCTAGCTAGCTGCCTTTTGTGTCCACTGCACTCGTCGAACGCGCTCGAATGCGAGAGCCAAACCCCGGACGCCGTTGTTCTACGTTCTAATGCGTTCGGCAAGTGCAGTGGAGACAAAGGCAGCTAGCTTTGGGTCTACCCACTGATCATTCCAACCAGAGATCGGCGTTCTGATGTCCCCACGTGCTCTCGTTTCTCCTCTCTCTCACTTTTTGTCGGCTCATAGCTTCTTGCTTTATCTGTGTGGTTTCAGGGGTAAGAAAGCAACCGCCATATTTGTAAACAAAATATGGATGTAATTTTGCGAACGCACAATTTTGTTGTGTAACATACGGGTACACTGTACGCCCTTGAAACGTTCTATTTATTTTCAGTTTCCACTTTCGAAGCTACTAGTTGCTCATTTCAAAAAGGCCAATATAACACTGACATCAAACGATCGGGTTCACTTGCCGTTTTTTCATCTCACTCGTGCTGTTGTTAAGTGGACCGAGTGGGTAAACAGGTAAGAAAAAACTTGAATGTTTTTCTTGCAATTTTGATTAAATATGATGCTTTATGAGCATGAACTTGTGTGTTTCAGTGCACGGAGATCATGCAATGCAGGATAAATAAAAGCGGTATAATTAATTTTACAGTGAAGATAACAATGTCGTGGTCATTAAGCTGAATGTGGAAGTGTGTATAAAACTTGCACCAGCTGAATGTTAAGAAATAAGAGAATAAAAAAAAAAAAACAGCCAATACAGAAAATGCATGTGTAGATGAACAACCCCCAATCTCTTTGAAATTTTAAGATCTAAATATACAGGTTGCACTTTTTCATATTTTTTGAGAGCTAGTAAATATAAAGCGCGACACATTATTTTTCAACCAGCATGGAATTTGGGGACATAAAAAGCCTAGTGCTCATTAGTAAGTTAAGAACAATTTATTATCCTCATGCACTGCAATAGCTCGACAATTTGTTTTTTAGCACACGCTGGCTACATTTGTTTGTAACAAGGTGTTGAACTGGGCGGGTTGGTAAACGTTTGACATGGTGGGTGTAAGAGCTTCAAAAAACGAGGGCGATGAAACGAATAGAAACGAATGGGCAACAGCTGTACTTGGAGCTGAAATGTTTCATTTGAAAAGAAAAACAGAACACAGACGTCAGTAGCAGATAACAAGCGCAAAATACGATAATCCAGTTAAGGCGAAGTGTACCAAAAGGCACGCAAAACCCTTTGTGCCATGTTTCTCGAGTGTGGTATAGAAGATACCCCTGCCACGTGGAAAATTCTACATAGGACAGAAAGGGAGGTGCCTTAACGATAGGCACCGGAAGCATGCTTACTCGCTGAGGGCCACGGTGGGGCGGCTCCTCCCTTTGCATTGCAGAGGCTGCACGTGTCAGCCGGCCTTTGACGAGGTGACGGTTGAAGGGAGGCTTAGAGAGAGGGCCACTCGCGAAATTATTGAGGCTTTTTATATGTCGTGCCTCTAAGAAAGATTCGCGATTGAGCCGTCGCTTGTCTTATGTGATAAGGGGTTGTCCTTTTTGCGCCAGACCATGACTGGCATGGGTTGCATCGATAACCTATTTTGATGACACGGGCCTTGTGGAGGGAGTATTGTGTGATTACACACTGTGTTATCCGGTACTGACGAATGCATTCTCTTTTCCTTTTCAAATAAAACATTTCAGTTGCGAGTACAGCTGTTGTCCTATCGTGTCTATTCCTTTTATCGTCCTGGTTTTTTGAAGCTGTTACACCCACCATGTCATACATTTGTTTGGTTGTTCGGTCAGAATAAATATATATGTCCTGTCATTTCTGCTGATGTATTTAAAGATCGGTAGATACCGAGATCTAGAAATGTCATGTGTTGTGAAAAGCGTTCTAGTAGTGTTTACCTTCGTAATGGCAAACCGGCATGTCAAAACGAAATGAGAAACAGTGGCTCTGAATCAAATGTCCGGCCTACGAAACCCCAGATGGCAGGTTTTAATTCCGGTCGTGGTGCCCTAATTTTGACGGAGGCTCATTTCGACGAAGGCACTATATAACAGAAATTTCTGGATTTTGATCGCAAGTCACAAATTCACGGAGTCAAATTACCCTTTGATTTTTTTTTTTATGCAACGTGCCGATGCCGTTTATTATTTTGGCACGTAAACTTCCAAAATAATGTAACACATGGAAAAGGGTAAACGAATGTAAAAGTAACAATAAATGTCTCATGAGGCGAACTTGCGCCTACAATTTGAAACAGAAGGTATCGAGCATTCTGCGTCTGCTGCGGAAGGGAGACTTCCACGAAGCAGCGCGTTACCGCTGCTTTTATATACGTGGTACGCTCAAGAATGTTCTGAACTACAGCGTGGAGTCAAAGGGATTGTTGACTGTAGGAAAGGACAGCATAAATCGGTTTCTGAACGTATTGAGCTAAGATGTTGTGCAGAGGGGGCCGAAGGACATAAGTTAAGCTTATACAAATTTTCCTAAACAAACTTACCTAAATAAAAAGATAGAAAAAAAAAGAGTGAAATGCCCCATCTACGGCGTTCGTCGCCTAACGAAACGCCTATGATTGGCACAGCAGCCCACAGATATCGGCAGTGATCTCCGCGCCAATAGGTGGAGGTCGGCAGCAAATTCCTAAATACTGCATTGTCAGCTTTGGCGAGGGAACCCGTTATTTCGGTGGTATGATCTCGAAGTTCACCACCAATGCTCCTCCCGAAACCGTCGACGTACCTCTTTCGTTCTCCGGCACTCCCCGTACGAGAGAAGAACCCTCACTCAATCGTTGGTGGCTAAGCGCATCATGAAGACGACTTACACCCAGAAACAGCAAAAATGAAAGTTGCACACAAGAAAAGAGATGCGGAAACAACCAAAGAATGCAAAGCAGGCGACTACATGTTGCCGAAAATAACTTTCGAGCAAAGCGGGAAAACACAAAGGGTGTGTGTGTGTGTTTTTTTTCTCGTTTTGTCTTCCTTTTTGTATTTTTTATTAATACGATAAAATACCCGTGCACATACAATTGCGCAGAAAGACAGCGCATCCCGTTACTCTGTTTCACGATAACTTGGCGAACTGTGGAGACTTCAGCCCGCGACCCAATATGGGCGCCGGAGCAAGGCATGTGATAACACTCCATGGTCGCGGCCACCGGGGCCTCGTTACCGCCCGAACAACAAACAGAGCCCTCCGCGACAAAATGTAGTTCTAGGCTTCTTTTTCCTTTAACGGCATTTGACCTTGCACGATCCCATCTATGACGAGGATATGAAGAGAATAATCACAAATTTACAAGTTTCAATTATATTTAAACAAAAAAAAAAAGAAGAAATTCCGACGACAAATAAGCACTTCTTATGTGTTGTGAATGTGAAAGCACGAATATCGTTCTTCGGCACCCTTCGTTCGTCTGCGGCGTTCTGGCTTGGACGCCCACGTTTCGCTAATGCCGAGGTTGCGGCCGACGGCCGAGCGCGCGTTCTTGTGAAGTGGCCGCGCCCCACTGAGCTCGGCCGTGCAGGCACTCCGAAGTCTGCCCGTGCGGGCTCTGGAGGCTCGGCGGCCAGCCGCTCCCTCTTACCGGAGGCCATATACGGCTCTGCCGGAGACCGTGCCGCTGCGCCGACATAGAGAGGGCTTTTGTGGTGGCGTTCCTTGGAACTACGCCGCGCGAGAGCAAATGGAAGCCTCTATTCTTGAAACTATGACGCGCGCCAGCCGATAGAAGCCTACCCATAAGATCGCTGCTACAGACGACAGGGTTCGCTCCATTGGTACAGGAGAGTTTAGGGGCCGTTTGGCGCGGCTTCAAAAGCTGATAAAGCCGGTTCGCTCCATAAGACAGTTAATGCTTTTGCATTAAAAATAACGTCACATCCGAATCCGCTCGATTTTTTTCGCATTGTAGCGCCCTGGCCGTTAGTGATCCCCGGCGATCCCCAGCCATGTAATCTGCCGTATCCACTCACAATATCGCGCTGTGGAATATGCATGAGCCCCCGTCACAAAATTGCGGCTAAATTGAGCGTATGGCCGTCTCATGAACTGTTCCCGAAGTGCTTGCTATTCTAGCGGAGGGATATGTTGCCGCGGTAGACGTTTATTCGAATTTGGTTTGTTTGGGAGCAGACGACTCTTGGCTAGCGGACGACAGGCGCTTCCTCCAGTGACACACACGCTCTCAGGACGTCAGGTCACGTACCTCGCTCCGACGCTCTTATTCGGTGGCGGGGCCGTTGCCTCCACAGTTCGCCAAGTTACCGTGAAAGGTAATTTAAACGTCGTCTGCTGTTACCGAGGTCGAGGGAGGCGCACGTTGTCGCCGCCTGTAGATAGCCAGAGAGGGTTCAACTCAAACTGTGGGGAGTGTTTGAAATTTAATGGTGGACGCCTCCTGCGGAGATCTGTTGCAAAAAACATGAAGTGCGCTGCCGCGTTGCGAGGAAATAAGCAGACGGAAAGGCGGATACACATGCAGACGACCAACGCTCTCGTCTCCTCCTCGCAGCTCGAATTGCAAACGCTTCCTACAAAATAAGTGACCCCGCTCGAGCAGCTAAAAACTCTCTATATATGCTCTCTAGCCACCTGCTATATCACGTGCCGCCATCTGTCAGCTATTGCGCCTATCAGACGCCTTTCGTTACCAGACGCACACCGTAGGTTAAGATTTGAAGTCCATAGTTTCTATCTTTTTACCCACGTAAGTTGGTTTTGTAGAATTTTTGTAACGTAATGCACATTCTTTGGCCACATCTACACAAACGTTTAGCACGATACATTCAGAAACCCATTTATGCGGTTCCTTCAAACCGCCAACGATCCATTTGACTCGCGCTGTAGCACACACGATTGCAGCCGAGTACGAGCTGGGTCTTTCTAGAGCAGTGGTTCCCAAATGGGGGTCCGCGGACCCTTTGGGGTCCGCGAAGGCACTCTAGAAGTACGCGAAGCCCACCTCATCAGTCAAGCCCGGCAATAGAAGTTGTCTTTTCTTAGACTGAGAAGAAACGTTTCAATTTTCGGGTGCGTTTTCGCGTGTATATGTCACTAAGAGAATTCTATAGTTAACACTAGAAGTTAGTTATACTCATTTATTAAATTAGTATCACAATTAACCTATACTTTCCTTTCCCCTCATCACGAGCGGGGTCCTCCATCATCTCCTTCGATCCACAAGGGGTCCGCGAAACATAAGTGGCTGAGAACCACTGTTCTAGAGGATCAATGAGTGCCAAAAGAAAGAACCGTGTAAAATGGGGTTGGAACCCCGTTTCTCCACGTGGCAGCGGCGTGCGTTGCCAACTTTGCCACGCACAGAGCAATCTTTTTAATATTAGAGTTAGAATAGCTCGAATGAAACAAACATAAATGGCTGCGATCGCAATAACGCGAAAAATCTTGTTTTGTGATGCGCTGAGAAACTGAGGGAGAGGAGCGAACGAGGGCGCGGGGACGTCAGAATGCCGAGCTCTGGTTCGAATGATTAGTGGTAGAACTAAAGCTGGCTGCCTTTGTCTCCACTGCCCACGTCGAACGCGCTTAAGTGCGAGAGCCAAACCCCGGACCCCGGTGCTCAGCGTTCTAACACACTCGACGAGTGCAGTGATGGCAAGTGCTGCGTTTGTCCCTACCGCAGTCGCCGAACGCGTTCGAATGCGAAAGTCAAACGCTGGACGCCGACGTCCCACCTTTTAACGCGTTCGAAAAGTGCAGTGGAGATAAAGGCAGCTAGCTTTAGGTCTACCCTCTAATCCTTCCAACCAAAGCGCGGTGTTCTGACCTCCTTTAGTCTCCTCCTCTCACTCAAGTTCTTAGCACATTTTTTTTAGATATGCTTTTTTATATATCAAAATTTATCTAGAATTAAACAAGACGGTGCAGGGTGCTATGAGTTTAAAATTTACCTGATGATTGCAGCTGAATAATTAGAAAATCTTCGGCACAATTGAATCGTATTCTTTGCCCAATTGTGCTTAGAAGTATCTTTGAATTTTTACAGTACGGACCTGTACAATTTTATTGGCTGGCTTCGGATTCTGAAATATATTAAAGTTGCCGGAGGACGACTAACCCAGTATTTGGAAGAATTTGAAGAAAACACCAAGTTCAGTCTTCGAGATCCAAAAGGTTGGGAAGACGTCTGCCTCGATGCGTTAGTAACAGATGAAACTACCATGTACACGCCAGCAGCAAATTTATATCTGGAAAAATACTTTTCCCCGGAAGAAAAAATCAAGGTGAGCACCCGTATCATTTTACACGCTGACGATGACTATTGGGAATCATTACTACGTAAAGAAAGAAATAATCTCTGAAACGGTCTTGGACGATAATTCGTTGTTATCGTTTTGTGAAACTCTGCTTGGTTTCTATATACTCTGCCTAGATAAAATACAAAAACAAGTTGCTTTGCTGTAGATAATCTTTCCCTAGTGGCATTAAAAGATAAAAAAGAGAAAGAAACAAAGCGAGAATTGAGGATAACTTGACATGATTGATGAAGTTGCTCTGGTCAAATTACATCTGAAGGCGTCGCAGTACGAAAACTTAACAGAGGATTTATAACTTTTGACATTCTTTGCTATCTTCTTGTGTTCTGCACATATCTGGCTCCCCGGTGTTTTGCACATAGCTTGCGCTCGGTTAATTAAGGTAATTTTGCCTACCGGATATACTCTATGCGAATGTCCCCTGTTTAAATAGTACAGTAGTGCGATAATAAATATAAAAGCTCGCCAGGGTGGCTGCATGACAAAGTGCAGAATACCGGCCCTCCGTATTATAGGTCAAGCGGCTAGACTAAAACTTTTCAGAGACCCATAAAATAGTTTTGGCTTGGTATAACGCAAAACAGCAAATCAGTACTTAAGCTGGTTGATATTTTTGGGCATGTAATGAAACAACTCTTTTCTCCAGAATGATTTTGGCATTGAGTCATTACAGAGGAAAAATGTAAACCTAAATAGGTCGACAGTATTTAGTATTGCTGGAATGGGATCGTGTAAGTCGGATTTCTTGCGACCTGCAATAGTTGTCCATGATTGCTTACTGAAATCGTTAAGGGCAGATGAAAAAGTACGCAACGAGGTGTTTGCTACACATTCCTTAGTGCTCACATCAGGCTTTATCCTGCAGGGGTATTGAAATCCCATTAAATCAAATCAATTTAGATTTATTAACTAATTACTTTTTTCCCTTTACATAATTCTTTTATATTTCATAGTAATTTAACGATAGAAATTAACGTAGTGGCCCCCTCCCTTTACTTTTCTTCGCATGAACAGTTTCGTCCTTTTTTTGTTTTTTGTGTTTCTGGTTTACTCACTCTATCTTTCGGTAGGTTGCATCTCGGCATATCAAATGTTCATAAGATTTCCGGTACGGGTCATACGCTGATATTAACGCAACGCTGAAAAATGCTCCATTATACGTTTTGTGGTTTCATTTGTCCTTTTTGTTTTACTTGAGCAGATACTTGTATATTTTTAACTTTTCCTTTGAGACTAATATGTACATGAGTGTGCTAGAATCCTACTAGGATAATGATATATCGCTTCTGAAAGGGGCACTCACATTGACCTATCAGAATGAAGGGTTCAGAGTAATCATTGAGTTTAATTTTATAGATACCCAATTGCTATTTAATGTTTCCATAAAGAAACTAATTTAGGCCCCATATTAAATCTTGATATTTAGTTTTATATTTTACATGTAGGCATTGGATATGGTCCGGAACATTGAAGCCCAGTTGGTGACCTTAGTTAATGAGAACCCCTGGATGAATACAAGGTCAAAGGATATAGCCACAGAACGGGTAAATATTACCAAGAATCATTGGCCCGTTTTCTTTGAAGGAGCACCGCATGTTTTTTTTTTTTGTTTCTTTTTGTAATGTCCCATTTATTCTGCCTTTCAGATCCAAAAAATAAATCTTCGAATTGGTTATGATGATTTCTTTGTGGATATGCCCTACATAAACAATCTCTACACATTCGTGAGTGGCACTATAATCTGCTTAACAATATATTTATTTTGAATAGCTTTTTTTTAATTTGATGCATAAATTTACACATGGTGTGATTTCATTACGTTGTTTTGTGCATTGTGAGAAGTTTCTGATAATTGTTAATGTGTTATGTTTCACACTCGCAGCCTGTTGACTAATAATCAGATGACTGGAGCTGATTATGTTGGTTAGTTTCTAAGCTGTCAGATACTTTTAGATCCACATACTTGCGCGTTGGTTACATACACCACAACGAAGCATTCAAATTAATAAAATACAAGTTCAGCTTCTGCTCTCATACTTACATAAATTCCACCTTCTTACACGTTAATTAAAAAAAAACAGTGAAGGATGCGAAAAAAAATATGGTTATTGACAACTACACGCACAGCGTACGTGTTGAAATCTAAAGCTGCAGTGGTCAATGATCAATGTTCAGGTTCTCAGTTCCGTTGCAGCAGAAAACGTACAGACAAGTAATACGCGCGCGTGGTCGGATTGATTGCACTTTCCGACTGCTCCATCATGAATATTTACTGATAATATAAGGTGTATTCACGGGATGCCGTATGGTTCCTGCTTTTCGCAGCCGGTAATATCTACATCCGTTGTCAGCTGAAAGGGAATGCAGGGTGTGTCGTATTATGTTCACACTGATTGTTTTGCGATTCACTCTTGAGCCTTCTCATCGTCCAATACCGCAATACTGGTGGCAGCGGAGCGACAATAAGATGCTGATGCCGTGTCGGGACATGCGTTTCTTAAGGTGCTATTGACTATGGTTCCCATTCACCATCTGCAAGGAACAAACATCTTGTCTGGGAGGAATGCACGGTCACGCACGTTCAGCGTGCATTTCGCCCGATCCAAATCGTTGTTCTTGGCGGTACATAGATGGGAACTAGTTCTTAGCGTGCTTGGCGAGCAACGACCGACAATTTATGTCGCCCCGTTACCGCCGCGTCCCTTGTGACGCAGCCAGCCATCACAACACCTGCTTATGTATGTATGGCGCAAAGGGTCATTTGAAATTAGGAGGCCTCGTGAATGTAAACAAGTTTTACCTTGAAAATCAGAATATTAAAAAATGAAAAGAAAACATAAAATAAACAATGAACAAATTAAAAAATAAAAAATGAAAAAAAAACTATTTACACAAGTCAAGAGTAATTAAGGGCCATAATCTGTAGCAATATGAAGTCCAACTTTGATGAGCCGATACGTCTTGTGTTCACTCGCGGCCTGCCATATTTTGACCGTCTCAGCCAGTCGTCGAGAAGGATGACGCGATTCGTAGATCAAGGACCCCCTAGATGTTCCAGGGTCGTTGACATCGTCTTAGCTTTGGCTTCGTGGATGTAGTCTTCTACCAGCCTCTGCACACCCGGCCTTCCTACTTCACATTCCTCCTTTTCTTTTTTTTTCTTCCTTCTCCTTTTCAACATAGACACTATTTTCACCCACAGCACACAGCATTGATGTGGACTTAAATAACGATGAATATGTAGCATTGTCTTATTTCTTTGCGACTACTCGCGCAGAATAGGTGGAGGCCTACTGATAGGACGACGACGCAAAGTAATACGATGGCGAAGGAACCCAAAGTACGAGGCAAAATGAAATGTAACCGCAAAATATTTTTTATTTGCTGAATAATACAGACAGAATGAAAAGTCATTTGTTGCTTTTCAAAATAGTTTCCCCGCTTTCGACACATATGCGCCAGCGTTTCAACAACACGTGGGTGCCACGGAACAAAACATTCCCTGTAATCCACGTAATTTTGCCGAAAGCTGCTTTGAGGGGCCCAAACAAATTATAATTGCTCGGTCCCAGGTTATTTTGAGTATGACGAATACATTATGCCCCCTAAACAAAGATCAATACTTATACACGCAGTTGAAGTTTTGATGTTGAGTGCGGCGTCGTTAAAGTGTGAGCCCAGCCGGACCAAGGTGCGTCAGTCAGATTTGACTTTACGCCTTCCATATGTTTGTACCAATCGTACACCTATCGAGATGGCATACAGGCGCCTCCATACTGTTCCAACATTCTGGGATAAATAACCGCGGGCTTCTCTCCCTCTGAACCCAAAAGCTATATTACTAAGTGCTGCTCCTTTTTGGTGCACGCTTTCAAGAGGGTGGCATTTTGAGAATGCTGCCTTCAGGTGACAATTTCCGAGAGTCATCTGGACCGGCTTGAGCAGCCAAATTTAGTGAAGGATCAAACGATATCGTGTAATTTTGATTTTTTTTGATAATCAAATTGCAGTTACGTTTCTACTCTGCTTGGAACAATACTATTCCTAATCGTGCTCTCTACAAAATCCAGTAAGTTTACTTTCCCGTGTAAAACATGAAGTAGCTAATCTATGGTGGGTGTTCGGGGAAGTACAAATTTATATATATGTATGTTTAGACCTAAAAGTTTCGCGGACGATCACGCGACCCGATTCAAATGGACAGCGTCAGCTGGCACGACATCTCTATGGTATTTCGTCTTGACTGACTCGAGCTTTCGATGATGTTGCGTCGCGCTGTGTCTCGCGTAAACCACAACCGACCACACGCGGAATAGCTCGCACCTCACTCGTTCTCGCGGACGCGCTGCACAAAGTGCTTATAGCACCAGCGTGTCCAGTCTTCCCTCGGTAACGTTCTCTCCTACGTGTCACTTTACGTTCACGCACAGCTTAATCTTGACGTCGAATGCGCTACATCCTAACACCCAGGGTTAGACTATCGGCGCCTACACATCGACAACGTTCTCTTGCACAGGAGCGTTTACGCCGTCGAGCAGCCGCTGTTTGATCCGGCGTGTTTTTTGACCTCTACATTTTTGCGCGCAAAGGCTTAGAACGCCGGGGGAACTAGTGAGCAAAGGCGAGAAAGAGCATGAGGCGAGGACGGCGATCACATGACCCCTAGCGCAATCGCGATTCGCCGAAGGCGCTGTGCTTCAACAGCGACTGTTATCAGCGAAAGGGCGAGGGTATCACCTCTGTACTTGCCCTCACCCGGCGCCAACGACACACCTACAATAAACGCGCAGCTCCATTCATTTTAGGCAACACGACACTCGTCGAGTGCAGCAAGCCCAGTACACAGTTGACGCTGTAAGCGCAGTTTGAGTTGGTGCACTGGGAATCATGTAGGCTGGTTCAATGACCCGGCACAGAGTGCTGTTTAGGTCTAAATATATTTCCAGCGTCGACGTTTGCCAAGCTACATCATTTAAAAGGAGAGATTGGCTCTCCCAAGTAATTCGCGGGAATGTATTCGCGCAAGATTTCTCTGTGTGTACGTCTTGCGGGCAGTTTTCTTAATATGCATAAAATTGAAAATGCAATTTTTTAAGTAAACAGATGTCTCGTATTTTGTTGACATTTTATTGAATCAGTTGTCTGCGTCGAGGACGGTCCTATAAGCCGCAAATATTCTGGCTATTGGAATATATTACTAGATGTGAATGTCGACTGCAACGTGAACTTTGACACGAAGATTAATTATTGCCTGCACCGCAATATGTAATGTTTAATTACATTCTAAAATCGTACGAGGCTGCTTATTTGTGCCTTATGCAGAGCAATCGATTGAAGTAAGATATGATTTGTTGCTGTAATATTTTATCGTTATTGCAACTTGTTGGGCCAAGAAGTTAAAGCTGATCGGCTAGACAAACAGCTCCAGTGTACAAAAGCGTTATACGCCACATAAAAGAAGGGTTTTTATTTAGAAAAGAGTTCTCTATGATTGTGGGAATCGTAATGTCTTAGTTAGGTCGAGCTTGCGACGACGCACTTGGTTATCTCCCATTACAAATTATCCTTGTATTTATTTCATTCCTTTATTTTGCTACCAAGGGGTGCTGCGTAGCACTTGGTAATATGTAATCTACTGAAAGTGTGCCAAATATATACTTTCATCAAACACTTCGAAAAGTAGATTCGAAATATATTTTAGTAGTTTTATTGTTTATGAAAGATACACGTTGATTATATACACTTTAATTGACAGGCTAGGTTGGCCAGCGGGACGCACCGTTGAATAAAAAAGTACTATAAAAATACTTCTGAAAAAAAAAAAGCTGAAAACTACTATGCTTTATGAACTCTTCAGCTATAGGAGAGGATATGAAGCGAATGTGCGGTCATAAAATGAGTTAGAAGAACCCTTTGATAAATGTTGTAGATATGCAAACGTATTTCCTCGTTCGAGTAGAACTTTATCTAGTTTAATTTTTCGAAACATATATTTTAATGGCTTATCTACTCTTGACTTTATAATGAACTTTATGAGACTCACAAGATAGAGATATCCACAAGTGAATTTATTCGTGCTTGGCGTCTGTCTAAACTGAATACAAAAAACTGAAAATTACAGTGTGTTGTGCCCCACAGATTCTGAAATCACCACCCTTCTTAACCAGCGGCACAATCGGGACAGCTGAAGCAGAATGGGGCACCACAGACAACACGCCTTCGGCCACAAATCGATCCAACTCGCTGGATACTTTAATGCGCAGCGCGTAGGGCACAGGCCTTGCTTTAGCGAACTGGGCTTGAGCTGGTGGAAGTTAATCATAGTTTTGTTTAATCCGCCTCCTTGTGGCCTCTTTTCTTCTCGTCCCTTTTCCGAAATACCCCAGTCTCGGGTTAAACAAAACTATGGGCTTGAGCGTCTGGGCATACGATCAGACTCACCGGTGTGTCGTGCACTGTCCCATGTCCGGGCTCGAACAAATCCACAAATTCCCTGAGTAGCTGTGGTAGGTTCAGATCGTCCGTTGGTGCTGCAGTACCTGAGGCCGGAGCATGCGTACTGACGGCTGAAAGACTGAAGACAGGAACTCCGCGAGCGTTCATGTCTCTAATCAGGTCCCGGCAAAACAAAGGGCCCGAGCAGCTAAACACAGTAAGAGTGCCCTCTGTCATCCTGTCTTGGTACATCCAAGCGCATGTTCAACTCTCCCAACACGGGCAATGT